CCAGGTGAAAGTTTTTCATCATGTAGTAGGACCTCAGTATCCCAGAGGGATCAGTTCTAAGCCCTCCAAGTGGATGCCTGAAACTGCAGGACCTCCATGCAAGTGGAAAAACCATGAATACCTCTAGCAAAAAACTCCCATAAATGTCTCTAGGGACTCTGTTTGGGAACGCCACACTCTTTGACCCAGCACTAGCCAGCTTCATTCACATGTTGTGCCTCTCCGTGTACATGAAGACTCGAGAAATAGCAAAGCAAAAATTGGGGGTCATCTTATACACCCACCATATGACAAACACCAGAAAAACAGTTCAAAATACCAACCTCATCTCATACACAAGTCATCTTACACAATGGCACATGCATTCTAAGCACATGAGAATTGGTACACAGTTTTGCTCACAATTTCCCCTGCTCTGTGCACACCTTGTAAGCATCATGAGAGCCAGAGTGGTGCAGTTGTTACGAGTTGGGACTGAGACCCAGGCGATCTGGATTCTAGTCCCCACACAGCCATGCAGCCAGCTGGGTGACTCTGGGCCAACCTACCTCACAGGGCTGCTTTTGTGGAAATGAGACTGAGAGCAGGAAGAGGAGAATGATGTAAGCCACTCTGAGTTCTTTTATAAAGAAGTGGGATATAAATCTAATAAATATAATTCCCTAAAATATGAGTTTCTGTATGCTATTTCCCCGTAATATATATGGTTTTTTAAATCAAAGTCTGCCTCACAACACTCAGAGCAGTGCACCTGCCAAAGGATAATTGTGCTCTACTTCATAAATTCATTTGGAAAGGGCAAGAGAGGATGCTTTATATTAAGATGAAAACCAAACAAATGTCACCCCATCCCTAACCATTTTCCCTTACCTTTAGTCACACAGGCTACAGATTCTTTTAGATTAACACTGGAAGCAACTCCATTTCTGTGACAGACACATTTTTTTCCCCACAATGTATCAAGATACAGCATAAAACTTAATGTCTATCCTCATCCCACCAGTGTGGCAATTACTGTAGAAAGGCGATTTTGCAAGCATTTGATCTGCGTGACAGAACTTGCTCAACTGCAAGAGGGATGGAACACTTCCTATTAGCTCTATGCTTATGCACACCAACCACTGTGCAAGCCCAGAGCAGGCAAGGTTCAAGGTTCAAGGGCTGCTTTATTTCCTCTATTTGCTGCCAGGATCTCATTTGTTTGTGTCATTTATATCATACTTTTCCTCCAAGCCCAAGGTGCTATATATGTTCCTCTTCCTTTCGATGGTATCTTCAGAACGACCTTGTGAAGTAGAGTGGGCTGAGACAGGAGCTGGTCCAAGTCACCCCGTGAGCCTCATGGCCAAGGGGGCACCTAAATTCAGGCCTCCCCAGTCCACTACACCACACGTCTTTTTGACTGATCAACTTGCTAGAAAAAAGACCGGAGTGGTCACAGCTTCAGTAGATCAATAAATTGAAAACCCTCACCTCATATGGCTGGAGATTGAAGGTAGTATTGTTAAGGCAGGAAGGGGTCCATTGGCTGGAGATGCTGACTTTGACATTGCTAAATGTTTTCCTGGAGGCGTGAAGCAGAGAGTAGCTGGGGATTCCAAGAGAGAGAGTAAGGAGGAAGTAGGGGAGAGAAAGAAGGAAGATGACACTTAAATTATTTCTCAAGACCTGCATAAAATGCCAACCAGTTTTCAAAAGGGCAGCTCCCTTGCTGATCTCAGGAAGACCAGTATCTGAAACATAGTCATACTTAATTTATATAGATACTGCATTTTTGGCAACAGGTTGTGTTTTAAAGAGTTCACATACAAAAAATACAATAGGCACAGTTACAATATTATATAAACTCAGTTACACTTCACTTAAACTGCATCAAACATCTAAATAAGTACAACATATAAGACTAGGTCAGTTAGCAACTTCCAGTACCATTAACACTAACATTAACCTCAGTGCTAAATGATCGTGGAATTCCCATAAATGGCATGTTGAGTGTCGCAAGCCTTCTGCCAAATGGCTGCCAAGAGGGTCCTGCCCATTCATTCATCAACAGGCTACTGGGGTGGGCATGGCCAGTCACAAGACACTCACATCCCAGAAGACGCACTGGTGAGGCTAAAACTTAATCAGGAACCAAAGTACCAGGCAGAGGTTGGGTCTGAACATGAATGTACAAAACCAGTCTTTTGAACCTCCTGAAAAAGACAGCTGAAGAGGGCTGCAGTTAAAGGAAATGGTTCAAAACAGTAGAATAAAAACCAGAAATAAAAGGAAGCCTGACAGTCACCAAGAGGAGTTGCAGGCACAATGGTGCTGGTGGGCACCATGCTGCAGACCCCCACACTCAGTAATTCATGCTGAGACCCAACCATAAGTTCCAGAGGGGAAACCAGACCGTCACAATTAATGGCCACTGGCAGCCATTCAGCTGGGAGCAAAGTCCTATGGGTGACAAGGGGCAATGCAGAAGATGCCGGTTCAGCTTGAGCACCAGGGTGCCATGAACACCCAACACCAAGTAGGCAGCGGCAGCAACAGCATCCAGAGCTTCCTGGCATCTGCCCACCTTTTGCATTGATTGATTGATTGATTTATATCCTGCCTTTTTTCCACAAAGGACTCAAGGCAGCTTACATCTCTTCCTCCATCTTATCCCCACAACAACAACCCTGTGAGGTAGATTGAGCTGAGAGTCTGTGACTGGCCCAAAGCCACCCAGTTGGCTCCATGGCTGAGCGGGGACTAGAACCCACATCGCCTGAGTCCCAGCCCCATGCTCTAAACCACTGCACCACACTGCATCTACCAGACAAAGCTGGCCACAGCCACCTACCTGAAGAAAGTGAGCAGGAACACGGCCACGTGATGATGTGTGACCTGTGATGCCAGTGCCCTGTTCACGGGCTGCCTCCTCAAAATTCCAGGCATCGCTGTCCTTCCAGTTTCCCCAGCTCCCTCCCCAGCCCTCTTCGCCCTTTAATGCTGGAATGTAGGCTATGTCATTTCTCTTCTCCCTTCAAAAAGAGGAAACAAAGTGCAAAACATAAAAAGTCAAGCCAAACTAAAGCCAGGATAATATTAGCAAAGCACACGAGACTACTCGGGAACAAGTTCCACTGCAGCAGGCGACACTGACTTCTGAACAAATGGACATCGGGGCATATTACTTCCCTTTAAGAGACCAAATACATTTCTGTAAGATTGTGTTAAATCCATGGATTCATTCTATGCATTTACTTTGAAGTAACAGGGTGGAAATTCAGAGGTGTGCCAACAGCAGACTCTTGTTCTACCACCAAGTTTGCCTTGAATCATGCAAGCAGCATCAGTTGTTTTCTGTTACCAGCTAAGCTTGGAATCCACCCTGTCTGAGCTCCCTTCCCATCTTCTGGCTGTAAGTCCAGAAAGAAGGTGAGAAGACGACAGCCAGGGCGGCAGAGCAATACCATACAGATACATCCAGAGCCCTGCTGCCGCAGCCCCAAGGCTGATCTACTTTCCCACAGGCAGCCCACAAGTAGGGCACGAAGGGAGAAGCCCTCCCACACCACTGGCCCACACCAAGTAGTATGCAAAGATACATGAGGCCTAGATATACGGTCTACCAGCAGAGAGCCTCATCTGCCATGATTTGCCTGAGCCACTTTTCAAGCATCTGAATCAGGGGCATCACCACATCTTGTACTAGAGAATTCTATAACTGTAATCAAACCTATAAGACTGGCTTGCTCTGTGAGCACAGGCATAACCTTCCTTCTCTCTTGAGTGAATACAAGCACGCTGAGAAAGGTGACGCAGACATTATTACAGTAGCAATCACAGGAAAGAAGAGCTCAGGTAAAGGAGTAGGATCTATTTAAAGGAATTCATACCTGTTTCCCTCTTGCTCACCTCTTATCAACCACCAAACTCTCTAATTCCCATTTTTTAAATTTCTACTCTTACAAACCACATCTCTAAACTGGTCTCTATTGGGAAAAAAAAAAAAGATTCCCGAGTGCCAGAGGCAACAATATATATATTCAGAATCCAGTCATAGGTGAAAACCATGTCTGATCCGCTAAGGTAAGCTTGTTTAAATAAATATGTCCTGAGCAGATGTGAAAAAGAAAGCAAAGTTTGGGTCATCAGCATCAACCACAGAAAGGGAGACAGCTCCCTCACACCTCTGCTCCAAGCAGACTCTCAAGAGGCCTCAGGTCTATGCAGAGCCACCAGGAGTGCCTCATTTGATAACCTCGGTGATTTGATAACCTCAGCCTGCTAACAAAAGGCACACTCTGAAACACCCAGATCCCAAATTGTTTTATTTTTATTTTTTCGATTTATATCCTGCCTTTTTCCTACAAAGAGCTCAAGGCAGCTTACATCTCCTCCTCCATCTTATCCCCACAACAACAACCCTGTGAGGTAGGTTGGGCTGAGAGTCTGTGACTGACCCAAAGTCACCCAGTTGGCTCCATGGCTGAGCAGGGACTAGAACCCAGATCATCTGAGTCCCAGTCCCATGCTCTTAACCACTGCACCACACTGGCTCTAGTTTAGCTGCTTTCATAGGGGAAAAAATGATAGAGGCATTCCATTACAGATCTTCCAGCAGGGCGTGCTGGGCACAGGAAGCAGCCCTTCTAGCTCAGTATTAAATAGGACAACTGGCTGCATCTCCGGGGTTTTAGAAGGGGTCTTTTCCCAGGGACTTCTTTAATCATGTACTATCATGGATGTCCCTTCCCTATTATGCATAGGAATGTATGTGCTGCTCCTGAATCACCAGCAGGTTCATGTTCTGTGACACAGGCAGGAGAAATCTTCAAGGTCCCCACTGCTCCAGATAGAAATTAGCTACACATGAGGGGTGAGCTGGGAACCGTAGCCATACTCCTAAAGCAAAACATGTAGACGGAACAGCCTTCCTCACACGCTGCTCTGCTGGCCAACTCAGTCCATCCTAGCCAGCCCAGTCAAGCATCTAGCACCTGGCAGATGAACTGCAACACCTCCACAGGGCACCAGTTTGGGGAAGGTTGCTTCCCCCAGTGTGAGAGAAATTTAGAATGTATAGTTAGTGCTGTACCTGTGCTTCTGGCTACAGGTTATTTGAGAGGCACCCACATTTTCTAAGACAGGTTCTGATTGCAAGACAACTCTGAAGATGCCTCCAGGGATGGGCAGAGCAATCTGGAGGTGATTGGTGGCAAACACCTATCCATTCTTCTTCCCATTGTTTGTCTATGCTTATCTGCTAAGTGTTAGGAGAAGGAGCAAAGAAAATTAGCTGCTAGCAAGAGATAAGATAAAAGGTGTGATCAGCCACAGACTGAGACATAGTTGCTTCTTCATTATCTCTGGCATTTCTTTCATCCTCAGATGCCCCTGCCTCCAGGCAGAAGAATATTCAGAATTCTCAACAGTGTATTTTGAATAAGGTAAAGGTTTCCCCTTGACATTAAGTCCAGTCATGCCTGACTCTAGGGGGCGGTGCTCATGTCCGTTTCCTAGCCCAGAGGACAGTCTCCGTGGCCATGTGGCCGGCATGACTAAACACCCAAGTGCACGGAACGCTGCTACCTGCCCACCGAAGTGGTACCTTTTTATCTACTTGCATTTGCATGCTTTCGAACTGCAAGGTTGGCAGGAGCTGGGACGGAGCGACGGGAACTCACCCCGTTATGCAGATTCGAACCGGCGACCTTTCGATCTACCAGCCCAGCAGCACAGCGGTTTAAACCACTGCGCCACCTGCAGTCCCCATATTTTGAATAGGGAGGTTTTAAAAAATATCACACTAACATAATCAGCAATACTATTGTCCACCAACTTTGAATAGCAGCTGCTAAGATAACAACCTGCCCATATCTTTTGTATTTCAGTTCCCTCTGACAACAGTTTACATCTCCCCTGCCCAATACGCTCATCTGCCAATTTGAGGTTCCCTGATCTGATACGGCCAGCAGGAGCAACCCTGCTTCCCACCATTGTATGTTCACTGAACACTTGAGGCTCAACAGGGACCACCTCATTCTCTCTTTGGCCCTTAAAAGTCAAGGGTGAAAGCTATGGGTCCTGTAAAGCTTGGGCCAGATCTCACTTCAGCGAACGATTTATTTGGCTGACTTAGCAAACCATTATTCCCTCAGCCTCAGTGTGCCCATTCCCCTCCAACCTCACAGTGCTCTTGTAAGGTTGGCTGAGATAACATGTGCGCATTCCTTTGAACACCTGAAATGCCGTCTTTTAGTATCACAAAGAACATCCAACCAAGTCAAGTTCAGCCTGTCTTGTCTCCCTTTGTGTCTGGTTTTACTGCCAGAAAGCAATAAGGAAGGGACTCGGCAACAGTTGGAAGGGGTGGGGAATGTGGAGGGGAAAAGGACAGAAAAAAGAAAAGGAGCATGGGATGGAGCACCAGAAATGGATTGTAATTTATTTAGCTGATTTCAACTGAGAGGCTATGGCCAAAATCCTATGCATGTTAGACAAAAAAAATGTCCCAGAACACCCAGCAGCTCCACTCAACTTGGGATTCCACTTCAATAAAGCAAAAGGTTTTTCAGAGTAAGAACCTATGCACATTTGTGCTTCCTTCTCACCAGTGAGAACACTGAAGTTAATATTATATATCAGCTCAAGCCCTCAGGAATTTGGCGATATATTTGGCAAGGCAAAGATCTAAAGGGATAGCCACTGTACATAAATTATTTTAAGTTATGCCTGCTGTATGGCCAGGGATAACTATAGAGCTATGGGTTAGTTCCCCACGGTCATTATTTAAAATCATGGGTCTGCAAACCTTGCTATAGGAAAATTCTTGATCAGTTTTAACCACAAGTCACCCAATGCCAGTCTAGCATGAAACTGTGGTTATAGCAACCTACAGAAGAGAGGAAGAATTCAAACACAGAGAGAGAGGAGGTAAGGAGAAGGAAGCACATGAGCCTGGGTTCCCTCCCTACCTTCAGTCTGTGGTTGGTAGAATGTGAGAAGAAGTGAGAACACAAAAGAAGTTTCTGATGTTCTCTTGGAACAAAGACCAAGAGCTTTACTGAACACAACGTTCATTCTTCTTGAACTAGCTGTTGCATTTAATAAGAATACAAGTCTACAAACATGCCTCTTGTGTGCATGCTAACTCTGGTATATCGTTTTCAGGAGAAAGGGGTAAAGAACAAAGAAACCACAGCTGTCAGAACTTGCAAAATCCTGATTTCTACATCAGGCTTCAGCAGTGAAAAGCTCAGACCAAATCATTTCAGGCTTCAGTAAATGTGCTGAGATTGTACACGTGCATTGACAAGATCTGCCAAGGGGTGTTGTCAAGCATTAAAAGCATTTATACTTTGGCAGAGGGCTGGGAGAGTGCCTCTTTTTTTCTACAAGGTTCTACCTTTCCAAAATAAAAACATCCCTTATATAGAAAACTCCATTGCCAATAGCAGCAAAACGTCTGTAGGAAGTGTTCTGTGGCCATAATCATACAAGCTAACAGGGTCCAGACCTATTGCATGCTTACTTGACAATAGTCACGAGCTTTTGCTTGCTTGTTTGTTTGTTTTTTACATACATGTCTTTAACAACACCCAAGACATCTGCTATATAAGCAAGTTTCCCCCGCCCCCCCCCCGAACAAAGAGGTAAAACAAAAGGACAAACGGCACCTGCTAAAGGGCTACATGATAGAAGCAAGGCACAGGACAAAGAGAAAAAGAGAGGGAGAGGGAAAACAGACAGATAGCAAAACAGTTATCAAGCTTAGGAAAGCCTCCTTGGATCCAGTGTAACGCAGTTCCAAAACAAACACGCACAGTGTCACACTGCGCGTCTGATCTAATGAAATCCCAAGGCAAGAGAAAGAACAAATCTCAAAGGCACACAGAATTCAGCAAGACACGCGAGTGATCCCCAACCAACCTGATGCAGGACTGGAAAACACAGAAGCGGAATAAATGCTCGCCAGTCCTGCTCACGCCATCCCCGTGGGGCTGTCACCCCATACTATCACCTTCTCCAGCCCAGAGCGGCAAAAGCAGTCATCAAGGACGCCTTCCCTTAAGTCTCCATAAAGCTTCCACGTAACCACCTCTCACCTGCCTGCATTTCCAAGGCAACTTTCAGGAAGTCACGTGATGCCACCTCTTCCGAGCCGGGGCCGCTCGCGCTCCTCCTTCCCCTCCCCTCCGCCTGCTCTTTCGCGCGATGCATCTTGGAAGTTGTAGTCCTTCCCCTTCTATTTCTCCTTGACAGCTTTCGGAGTACCCGGCGAAAGTTTTAGCAGCCTGCAGAAGGAAGTCCATGGCTTTTCGGGAGTAGGGCTGAATCTCGTATTTGACACGGTCCCACCCTGCAACCCTGCCCCAGTTTTGCCAGTGTGGTGTAGGGGTCAGAGTGCTCGGCTGGGACTGGAGAGACCGGGTTAGAGTCCCCGGTCGGTCAGGAAGCTCACTGGGTGGCTTTGGCCAGTTACTGATTGTTGCCCTGACCTACCTCGCAGGGTTGTTGTGAAGATAGCATGATCCTGTGCACCGCGTTAGGCTCCTGCAGGAAAGGGAGTAACAGATGAGTTAAATAAATGCCATGTCTGCTTCCCCGGGAGCAAGTACTTAAAGGGACTTACTTTTGAGACAACATGCCTAGGATTGACTGTGAAAGTTCAGATTTGCAGAACTGCAGTCTAGAAATAGGGAAGATTTCGGCATTTACTCAGGAGAAAGTCCTGTTTAACCCATTAAGATATACTCCAGGAATAAACACACATAGATTGGTCTTTTGTTGCCTTTCAGAAATACAGTAATTGTCACCACTCCTTTCCATCAAAGGTGCATATTAACATCTGCATCCAATCAGGAAATCCAAAAATTTAAACTATTTCTACCCATTTATTTGTCCAACAACTTGCTATAGGAATGTGCAAACTTTGAAGTTTGCACAGAGTTTTTCACCAATAAGAATGTAGAAGTAGTTAATGACTGGATGATTATTATTACAATGTACTGTAAAGTGCTACTGGCATGTATTTGAATTGCACTTAGAATATCACAGCATTTTACAGTGTGTTTTGAAAGTTCATCTTAGGGTGTATCCCTGCTGTCCTTTTAAAAATGGAATAATGGGCAGAAGTTCAACAGGTAAGGCTCCCTGTTGAAATTCATATTCTCAGAACAAGAGTCCTTTGAGGTGGGTCAGGCTGAGAGTTCCTGAGTGGCCCAAAGTCACCCTTTGAGTAGACACCTGTAGGATTTTTTTCTACATTTTTTTCTATGCTTCTTTCTAATGACTGGGCACTTTCTGGCATCATTTCTTTCATACAAACAAACCACAACGCTTCCTTTTTTGAAATAGTAAAGGCCTAGATAGGAAGTGGCTTTTTCACTAGAACATGCAGGTTAGTAATATCTCTACTATTTGACACTTCTTCTTAGAAGGAAGGGGAAAAAATCATGGCCTGGGCTGGATTCACTTCATTTTAGAAGCAAGCAACCTAAAGACATTGAACTTGTGAAACTACATTTCCCATCAGACGGTAAGAAAGCCAGCAAAGGTGGGAGGGGATTATAATGAGAGCTATACCTGTTAGTGCAGGTAAGAGAAAGAAGGGAATAACAGGTGAACAAAGTTGGTAGTTGAGAAGGCAAGCTTTCCAGTTCTTTTAGATGTATGTGTTGTATTAACGTTTCACTGCATGGATCAATGAGTTTCGTTTTGTTCGGTCTCAGGGAGCGAAACTTTTACGGGAGCAGGTAGCTGAGAACAGGCATTGTGAAAGGGGGAGCTTATGATGGCTTCAGCGTTTTAAGTTCCGTTGATAATGGGGAAGTGGTGGGGGTGTATGTGTTTACTTGAAGATTTCTCTTTCCTCATGATAAGCCCGCGAAGGCACACAATGCAAGGGGTTGCAAAAAGCTGTGCTCCGTCTCTGCCCTTCGTCTTGTTGTGTTTTTCTGCCTTTGTTGTGAGCAACAAATATAAATGCATATATCTTAATAGTGAGTAAGCAACTCCTTTTGTGTGATCAGTCAGGCTTGGCTTACCAGAGAGCAACAAATTCGCGCTTTAAACATTACCCTACAGAAATTGCCTCCCTCCATTTCTCAGTCTCAGTACTGGGAACTGAATGAAAATATAACTATGGTTTTTGAGACCATCCAAGGACTGGGTATACACTGGGTCAGATGACCTATCCAGCCCAGGTATGGGTAGGTTTTAGGCTTGCAATTTTGACATTTGCTTGGGTTTCATTTTACAGAATCCTGAGATCAAATAACTGGAGCAGAGTGCAAAACAGTGGCTTTTGAGATGCTGGGTGCTGGGAGGGGGCGAGATTTCCTGGAGAAGGCTGTAGAAGGGTCCTCTACAAAATGCAGCACCTGAATATATCCAGTTTTGGCCATATATAGGATCCTTCTAAAAACAGAACTTAAGGGTATTAGGGATCCCCCAGCCTCCCCCCTCCCTGTAATTTGAGGACCCCTCAGAAGGCACCTGCTGGGATGGTGACCTGAATATGTAAGTACAAATCTACATATGAAACAACGATGGATCAGGGATTTTAAAGGCCTAATTTAGCTCCTCTACATAAAACAACTACCCTTTTTGTAGCTGCTTTTGTAAAGCAAGCGGCCCTCCAACAAGTATTTTTCTGTATTCTGCCACCTGTCTCCTGCTTTAGCTGGTTACTGCTAACCCTGAGTGACAGGTTCTCCAACTTTTCAAGCAACTGCCTTTTTCCTAGCTCCGATTACGGTTTTCTTTTAAACCGGTGATGCCAGGGGTTGAACTTTGGACAGTGCACACACCACGTGTATGCATATGCTTGTTAGACCAAAAGTGGCCTGTGGATTGTTCCAGCCTCATCTCAGTGCGGGGAGGGACTGTGGCTCAGAGCTCCCACTTGGCATGCGCATTTTCCCAGGTGGGATCCCTGGCATCTTCAGGAAAGGTGGGAAACACTTTTGCCTGACCCCTGGAGAGCCACTGCCAGTCAGTGTCAACAGGACTGCGCTGGATGGACCCAGGTTCTGATAGTATGAGGCAAGTTCCTATGTTTCTAAACCTCTGGTTCTGTGTTTGATTCCTTCTCGGTCTGCTATCTGCTATCTGCTATCGCTGGAGGATGGACAAAAGGAAGAGCAGGGCTGTGTTAATAATGAGGGTAATGAGGCTCTTATCATGCAATGGCCTGCCTCATTCCCAGGATTGCCCAGGAGACATTCTCTTCATCTTCTAACCCTCCTGTGTTTTCGTCCTCCTTTTCTTTCCACCAAAATATATGTATTCAGAAAAGAATGGCATGATAGTTTCACCATGATTTTGCTGGTAACACTAGGCAGAGCCCCCTGTCAGAATGACCCCAAGTTGATTTCTGGATGATTTGTAGTAAATCAGCAAACACTTAACTCTCAAACATCTAGCAATAGCAACAGCAAAATGACTTCCAAAAATTATTCTGCAGCAATGAAGGAAACGGGGTCCGGGGGTGGTGGTGGGGAGAATGATAAGGGATAAGGCTTTGTGTGGATTGTCTAGAAGCAGTGAGCAGTTCTGATACTCCAAACTACTGATTTCATACAGTGTGTGAGTCTTCTGCACTAGACTCTGATTGATGGACCTTAGCTTCTGGTAAAAAGCAGGGAAGAGTCCCTTGAACTTGATGCCTGCCCACTCCATCCTCCTCATAATCGGCTTGAGGAATGGGAATTTGGGTAGACTCACTCTTAACCCAGGCTGATCAAAAGGTGGAGGACATGTTGCCAATGTTGTGGAATGCTTCACGAGGGCTACCATTGGAATAGGTGTTGCTCTCTTGTCAGAGAACCTTTTCCTGTAGGTCCCACCTCTGTGCTCTGCTGATAGGACCTGCACCAGGTTCCTCACCAGCTGAGGTCTGGTAGGCGCATCCAAGGGGCAGGGCCTTTTTTCTCATGGCACCAGTATTGTGGACTGTTTCTTTCAGGAAAGTCTCCTAGAGTTCACATTGCCAGCCATTCAAACTGAGATTTGAGGGGGGATGACTGAGCTGAGTTTGTATTTCCATACAGTGTGTGCTTGGTGAGGAGGGAATAGACCATTTTTGTATTGATTTTGTTTAGGGTTTGCTTTATTGTTTTGAATTTTAGGGAGGCATTGACTTTTCTGTCTGGTTAACCATTGCCACTTTATTGTTATCTGCACTTGGATTTTTTTTAAACTCAAATGCTTTAAACTTCTTATCATTTAATGCTGACTTCTGATATGCAGTTGCAAGTTGCACATGTTCCTGGCCTTTGTACGGTTTAACCTGCAGGTTGATAATGAATTGTGAAACATCACAATCAAATTGAAATGACCACTTTTAACTATACAAAAACAAATTCTTGACAAAATACTCAACTCTTGAAATACAGAATTCAGACTAAATGGTAAGGCCCTGCTTTACCCTTTGGTAACCTGCACACTTTATCCGTAAACAAAATGTGGTTAAACAAGTTTGCCATAATACTGCAGTTATGAAAAATGGATCTGCTAGAGGGACAGTAGAAGCTCTTTGGCAAACTTTCCCCACTGACACTACCTTTGCTACTAGCTGCTGCGGGTGCAGTCCTAGGCATGCAGAGACAGAGAAAAGGCCTACAGTTCCCAGCATGCCCAGTTTCCCATTGCCCAGTTTCAGATACAATGATAACTCACAGTGAAGGGCTGAGTATGGGTTGTGTGGGTTGTCATTAAAGCGAGTTGTTGACCTGTGGGTTAACATGTTGCCTGAACCCAGTCAAGATAATAAACCATGGCAAACAACCCATTATTCACCACTCAACAAACTATGAGCTGTCTTCATGGGTGGTTTGTGGTTCATAAGCCATAACCTGACGCAGCTGATTTGGGACAACATAACCCGCGTTTCAACAATAACCTGTGCTTGACCTTTGAGTGTGGGTGATTGTATTGTCTGAATCCAGTCATTATCTTTAAGAGCTAAGAAAAATAATTTAAAACACCCTCCCCCCCCCCGAGCTGTATCCATGTAAGTCTTGTTTATTTATCTGTTTCTGTATTGCCCCAAAGTTTAATGGAATTTAAGTTACTGATACTGGATAGAGCCCACTCGCTTGAAATTCAGGAAAGCAAAATATTTTGGGGTGATGTAAAATTAATGGAAGAATCTAAACACCCAACATAAACATTGCATTTGTCTTTCAGCTCCTTGCTCATGCCTCACTTGGGTTCTTCCCTGTGTTAACTCAGGGCCAGATCACTCAGGGCTGAAGAAGATCATGGCTTTTGCGAACTCCGAGATGGATGAAGCTTTTGACTACTTGTTCAAGATCATCCTGATCGGTGATTCAAATGTAGGGAAGACGTGTGTGGTCCATCGCTTCAAGTCAGGCCAATACCATGCAAAGCAGCAGAACACGATTGGGGTGGACTTCACAGTGCGATCACTGGACATCGATGGCAAGAAGGTGAAGGTGAGTGGCACCCAGTCCTCGGCCAGGCAATCATCATGCTATCCAAATGGTGTGGGATAGTGGTTGGAGTACTGGACTGAGATTTGGGAGATGCATGGTCTAGTTCCTCCTTGGCCCTGAAGCTCACTAGCTGTCTCTAGGCCAATCACTCGGGCTGACCTACCTCACAAGGTTGTTGTGAGGACAAGGTAGAAATGGAGACAACCTTGTGAATCACCTTAGGCTGTTTGCAAGAGGAAAAAATGTGGGATATAAAGGTCAGTCAGCAGTTCACAGGAAAAATTTGTAACATCTCAGTACTCAAAGCAAAGATCACTGGCTAAGCCCCACCCTTAGAATAGAGAAGGAATTTCTCTGCTTATATGTGACTCCATTCTGCAAATGACTGTCTTTTGCCAGTCCAAAAGCCCTCCAGGAGGGTGCTTATTCTTTTGATAAGTAGTGGCAGAGGAGCATGCCCCCCATGCTCATGTTTCTGGTTCCAGCCACACTCCTCTGCCAGTAAATTAGCATATGCAAATGTGTGCTTTTGTTTTTTTTTGTCCTGGGGGCCTAACTAAGCATTGGACCTGTTTAGTGCACAGCTCTTTTCTTTTAACAAAAAACAAGCACTAGTCCCATTGTAATGTTATTTTTTACCTCAGTAGAAAGTGCCCAAGGCAAGAAAAATACTGAATCTGAAAAATTTCTGTTCTTACTGACATTTTCCCTCACAGAGTTGTAATCAACATAAGAATGGCTTTCAGGTATCAGCAACTACATGTAATTTAGTTTTCCTTCTCCCCAAGGCTGTAGAAAACAAGAAAATCTGCATAACAAAGACCCATTGCCATTTTCTCTGTATAACAATGGTTCAGCCTACTAGCTTTAAAAAAAATCACATCAGTTTTCCCTGAATGGAATTTAATTCTGCATGCCGGGCTTTTTAGCTAAGTATTTCAGCTTTAAAATGAGACTATGTTTATCTGCATTGAACCTTATTTTGTGCCATTGATGGGGGAGGGGGGTGTTCTGTGGTATAAAACTACCATGCACAGGAATTGCTATGGAGATTCTGCAGCACTTTTGTGCCCCAAGCAATTTTGTTCTAGTTAAAAAACCCCCCATAAAAGTTAAGAAGCTGAAATTTGAGGGGTGTTTTAGAGCAGGCATTTTGTGGAAATATCTTAGAAAGATGAGACAGAAAGTGGACTTAGGCATACTAGCTAGTCCGCAATGCAAGATGACAGCTACAGACTCATTTCTTTTGCATTCTGGGGCTGCGATGGTCACATCATTTTTGCAGTAATATGGAATGGAGCAAAATATCCTTTTAGCAAGAAGCAGCAGCAGTTGCAAATCCCAAACATTGCCACATTTATGTCAAGAAGCCAGGAATGAAAAGCCTAAATCTACAGTTCATTAAAATCTTGCTTAGGATCAAAATGTCAAAAACTGTGTGACCATTTCAGTTTTCCAGAACTTTTCATCAAGCTGAGTCAGGAATGCCAACCTCTTCCAGCCCAAGGGGTGAATTCCCTTTCCTCTGAAGCTTCATTTCAGTTGCTGGCAGGGCTAAGATAGAAGGGGTGTGACAAAAATACCAGCATATTGTGGCATAAAGCTCTTACTAAGCCTCACAAGAAGCATTTGGCCTTTTGGAATGAGGAAAGTCCCATGCCAAAGTGGGGAAAGCACCAAACAAACAGTAGTCGGGGAAAGTGGGGCAGAGCCATCCAGGGAATACTGCAGGGCTAGATTGTGTCCATGAAGTTGGACACCACTGGGCCAGGCACCATGGGAAGCAGCGCATGGGGAAACATCGGGACAGTTTGGGACCGTGAGGGCTGCAGTATAAAATGTTACGCCACCTGGCTTGGTGAAGATTTTTGGAGTTGCGCCTGGCCTTTGTTTTTTCAGAAATGTTGTCTGAAAGTTGACCTTATGTAGGAGCAGGAGATGTATAAAAATGAATGCAATCTAGATGCTGCATTTCAATTTTGCGTTGGCCGGAAACACCAATCTCTGGTAGTAAATTAATTATTTCATCCCCCCTTTTCAGATACAAGTCTGGGATACGGCAGGCCAAGAACGCTTCCGGACAATAACTCAGAGTTATTACCGCAGTGCCCACGGTGCTGTACTTGCCTACGACATGACAAGGAAGTCCACTTTTGAGTCTATTCCTCACTGGATTCATGAAATTGAAAAATACGGAGCTGCTAACTTGGTCTTGATGCTGATTGGTAAGTGATGATTTCTACCATTGTTAGCATGGATTTCACACCTCATTTTGGTTCCCAATGTTATTTTTTTGGAGTTAAGGCCAGAATGGGACATCCCCCCCCCCCCCAGCTAAGATAACCAAGAGATAAGAGCGTGTTAGAGAAACCTGAATGGAGCTTTGTTCCTAGTTGCCATGATTAATTGAGTGCATCAAGGATGTGTTGTAAGTGCTCTTACTTGCAGGTGAATGAATCTCATTGAAGTGCATGGAAAGAATTCTAAGCAAAATGTGTAAGATTGTTCTGTTATTACAATGTTTGCGGGGCATACAGAATGTCAAGCACAACTTGTGAATTTGGGCAACTGGAAAAATAATCTAGTAACTTTTTACTTCTATGAAAATGTAGACTTCACTTGAGAAAGTCAAAGTTCACTTCTGAGAAAAGTTCCCTATTGCAGCTCATGCATGTTACATAGCAAGATAAATAAAGGACCAGCATTGTGGGATGCATGCAGAACCTCTGGAGTCCAAGGATGGCACTGCAGGGTTTTCCAGTGGGTCACACACACCCTTTCTGCCTGACCCTGTTTGTTTGGTGGCTTCCCACAGTTTTTTTCCTGCAGTTTTCCACCCATTCTGAATGGTTGCAATGAACCTTTGAAGGCTTTGTTGCTGGCAATAAGAGTTCTAAGCTCAAATAGGCTGGTATCTCTGGCTATGTGCATTTTGCCTTCAGCCCCACCCAACTTTGGAAAGTGACTTGCAAGGGCATCTCCAAAATGGAATTCAGCCCTTTGACTGAAAGGGGTTTAACATGTCAAGTGAGATGTTCTTGGCTTGGTTCATAATATTGTGCCTGTTCATTTTATTCATCTCAAATGTCACTGGAAGTCTGAAATGTGTTTTAATCCCATTTAAAGGGAACAAGTCGGACGAAGCAGAGAAGCGGCAAGTTCTGTTTGAAGATGCTTGCACACTAGCAGAGAAGCATGGTCTTCTGGCTGTACTGGAGACTTCAGCCAAGGAAGCCCAAAATGTTGATGAAGTGTTCGTATTGATGGCTAAAGAGCTTATAGCGCGAAATACCTTACAGCTTCATGGGGAGAGTGGTCCTTTAGGCAGCATCCATCTAGATACCAAGCCGGTGATGGCCTTGCCAGCCGAGAACTCCAGCTGCTCATGTTGAGGAGATGCTTCCAGGAGAAGAAGCAGCTGGGATGATTCCTGAGGCCTTTTCAGTTGGGTGAACCTTCTAGCCTCATCTTGCCACCACCCCAATATATTTCAACTGTGTGGCTTCGGCTTCATGTTATTCTCCAGAAACAGATGTTTCTTTTTGTTCTCCAGAAACAGATGTTTTCAACAGAAGGTTGAAGGAAGTTGTAATGGTGCAAACAGACAATCCCACCTTTTCAACTGAAAAAGAGAACATCTCTTGGAAGTCATGAGCTAAACTGGAAAAGAACTCTGAAGACTTCTGAGAGCAGCAGGCTGCCATCTGGAGTGAGATGGCTGTATTGAGAGCTGCCCTGTTGAGTTTCTGTAATTTTTCACCCATGGCTGTGGAAAAATGATGTGTTTACCTGTCAGTCATGATACTAGAACAGCCTTCCCTAGCCTGCTGCCCTTCAGAGGGGTTGGATTACAGCTCTTAGCATCTATGTTGTACATAGTTTAGCTTGAGTGCAGATAGGGCCATTGGTGGCAATTTTGCCACATTAGGGTAGCTGAAGGTTAATAGTAAGGTCTCCATCATTGGTGAAGTAAAAGAAACTACAGGAGAAGGAAAAGAAGTGGTGTCCGCTGGTCATTTCCCGAATTACCTGCATCAGGTGCAAGCTGGCATGTCATCCAGTCCTGGCAAAGGTGGGTGGTGGCATGGCTTCTAACCACCCAAAACCCTGAAGCAAGCCATGGATTGCAGAGTGGTTTGGGAACCAGCCCTCTCACCCACCTGGCCAGGTGTGGACAACACAGCAACCTCCAGATAGTGTGGTTAATTATGGAAATGAGGCAACATGTAAAGGGAAAAGTCATCTGGGCTTCTTTTCCGTCACCCTTCATATAAAGCTTGTTGATGTTTCTCATTATTGAAGTGACCCAGTGCATTTTGTAGCAATCTAGTAACTGTGTAATTGGTGGGTTGGTTTACTTAGGTTCCTGCCTACCTCTTGTTCATCAGTGACTTGTGTTTATAGTAATGTTTAATTGGGGGACTTGTTTACACATGAATTTTGCTTCCTTGACTTGCTCCTTCTCTGTGCAGTTTCTGCAGTAACTGTAACAAATTATAACTAAAAGAACATACGGAGAGTTGTCTTTTCTTGAAATTAAACGTTGACTGAAATTAATATATGTGAGTTTTGCAGCACTATGTAGTAACTGCTTATACTGATCTTGTTCCACTGAATGACTATCTTAGCAAAGAAGGCAAAGCTTAATCAACAGAGACCTTTAAAAGTGAAAGTGTAATCACATAATAAATTATTCTTTGTAACAAGTACAGGATAAACCTTTTCTAAACTCCAGTCAGTGGCCCGTTTTGTATATACTCTGAATGTGTCATGAGTTCAGTTTCAATAAGGTTCAGTGGATGTATGAAACGATGAGAGTCTCTTTTCTGTGTCAAAGCCCTGACTGTTACCAGTCCGTTCAGAAGTGAATCTGGAAATGCAAAGGGAGCAAGGATTCAGGGTATGGAAGACACAGCTCCACCCTTTCCCTTTGAAGGGGTTCACACCTGTAGCCAGATGATACCAATTGTCCTCATCTTCCCAGGTGGAGAACAGACCTTTGGCTGTTCGGCGCTGTAAAAATTGTAAAAATTGCAATATTATATCCTGCCTGCTGTCCCCTTACAAGGAACTCAAAGCAGCTTACAAGGAAATAAGTGACTAATAAAAAAGGCAGATAGCAGTGGATGTTACACAACTCCTATAGCCTCAAGCCTATAGGGTCATGAACCCTACTATAGTGTGAAAGTTCCATTGAAATGAGGGTGATGTTGAAAACCCCTTCCTTGATTAGCTTTTTCTGCACAGCTCAACATTTCTGCCCATTCTAAACACATTCCAACCATCAGAATCATGCCAGAACACCTACTTTTTCTAACCTCAACCCTACCCTGGTGCACGCCCATAACCCTAGTATAGAGAGAAAGTTCCATTGAAAAGAGGGCAAGTTTGAAAAAGCAATCCTTGAGGATGTTTTCTGCATAGATCAACATTTCAGCCCAGTCTAAACACATTCCAACCATCAAAATCATGCCAGGACATCTACTTTTTCTAACCCTAACCCTACCCTGGAGCACACCCCTAACCCTAATATAGGGTGAAAGTTCCATTGAAAATAGGGCGATGTTCAAAACGCCTTCCTTGAGTAGCTCTTTGCTCACAGCTCAACATTTCTGCCCATTCTCAACACTTTCCAACCATCAAAATCATGCCAGGACACCTCATTTTTGTAACCCTAACCCTTCCCTGGTGAACACCCCAAACCCTACTATAGGGTGAAAGTTCCATTGAAAAGAGGGCGCTTTTGAAAAAGCCTTCCTTGAGCAGCTTTTTCTGCACAGCTCAACATTTCTGCCCATTCAAAACACATTCCAACCATCAAACTCATGCCAGGACAGCTCGTTTATCCAACCATAACCCTACCCTGGTGGACACCCCTAACCCTACTATAGAGTGAAAGTACCAGTGAGAAGAAGGCTATGTTGAAAAACACTTCCTGAGTAGCTTTTTCTGCAAATCTCAACATTTCTCTTCACGCTAAATGCATTCCAACCATTAAAATCATACCAGGACACCTCCTTTTTTTAACCCTAACCCTACCCTGGTGCACACCCCTAACCCTAATCCTGGGGCATAATTCTATTGAAAATAGTACGATTTTGAAAAAGCCTTCCTTGAGTCAGTTTTTCTGCACAGCTCAACATTTCTGCCCATTCGAAACACATTCCAACCATCAAACTCATGCCAGGACACCTTGGTTTTGTAACCCTAACCCTATCCTGGTGCACACCCCTAACCCTAATATAGGGTGAAAGTTCCATTGAAAAGTGGGGGATGTTGAAAAAAAGTTCCTTGAGCAGCTTTTTCTTCAAAGCTCAACATATCTCTCCACGCTAAACGCATTGCAACCATCAAAATCATACCAATACAGCTCTTTTTTAAAACCCTAACCCTACCCTGGAGCAAACCCCTAACCCTACTATAGCGGAAAAGTTCCTTTGAAAAAATGATGATTTTGAAAAAGCCTTTCTTGAGTAGATTTTTCTGCACAGCTCAACATTTCTGCCCATTCTAAACATATTCCAATGATCAAAATCATGCCAGAACACCTTGGTTTTCTAACCTTAACCCTACCCTGGTGCACACCCCTAACCCTAATATAGGGTGAAAATCCCATTGAAAAGTGGGGGATGTTTAAAAGTCCTTTCTTGAGGAGATTTTTCGGCACAGTTCAACATTTCTGCCCATTCTAAACACGTTCCAACCATCAAAATCATGCCAGGACAGCTTGATTTTGTAACCCTAACCGTACCCTGGTGCACACCCCTAACACTACTATAGGGTGAAAGGTCCATTGAAGAGAGGGCAAATTTGAAAAACCCTTCCTTCAGGATGTTTTCTGCAGAGATCAACATTTTCAGCCCACTCTAAACACATTCCAACCATCAAAATAATGCCAGGACACCTCATTTTTCTAACCCTAACTCTTCACTGGTGAACACCCCAAACCCTACTATAGGGTGAAAGTTCCATTGAAAAGAGGGCAATGTGGAAAAAGCCTTCCCTGAGTAGCTTTTTCTGCACAGCTCAACATTTCTGCCCATTCTAAAAAAATTCCAACCATCAAAATCAAGCCAGGACACCTTGGTTTTCTAACCCTAACCGTACCCTGGTGCACACCCCTAACTCTAATATAGGGTCAAAGTTCCATTGAAAAGAGGGGGATGTTGAAAACTCCTTTCTTGAGGAGCTTTTCCTGCACAGCTCAATATTTCTACCCATTCTAAACACCTTCCTACCATCAAAATCATGCCGGGACAGCTCATTTTTCTAAGACTAACCCTATGCTGGTGCACACCCCTAAGCCTAGTAGAGGGTGAAAGTTCCATTGAAAAGAGGGTGATTTTGAAAAAGCCTTCCTTGAGGATACTTTCTGCATTGATCTACATTTAAGCCAACTCTAAACACATTCCAAATAGCAAAATCATGCCAGGACACCTCGTTCTTCTATCCCTAACCCTACCCTGGAGAACACACCCAACCCTACTATAGGGCAATAGTTCCAATGAAATGGGCGATTTTGAAATAGCCTTCCCTGAGTAGCTTTGTCTGCATAGCTCAACATTTCTGCCCATTCTAAGCACATTCCAATCATCATAACCATGCCAGGACGCCTCATTTTTCTAACCCTAACCCTACCCCAGGGCACACCCCTAACCCTACTATAGGGTGAAAGTTCCATTGAAAAAAGGGCGATTTTGGGACAGCCTTCCTAGACTAGCTTTTTCAGCACAGCTCAACATTTCTGCCCACTGTAAACACGTTCCAACCATCATGTAGTGAGCGGAGCCAGCTAATGCCGGAGGTCAGACTAGATGGCCCAGGAGACCCCTTCTGACTTGCTCTGTTTCTCTGTTCATATTTTTCTAAAATCTTGCCTGGACACCTCATTTTTGTAACCCCAACCCTAACCTGGTGCACAGCACTAACACTACTATAGGGTGAAAGTTCCACTGAAAAGATGGCGATGTTGAGACAGCCTTCCTTGAGTAGCTTTTTCTGCACAGCTCAACATTTCTCTGCAATCTAAAAGCATTCCAACCATGAACTGAACATATAGTAGCCTTCACACATTTACCAAATAAACGTGCAGTGAAAGATTGGGAAACAACACACTTCGCCACTCAGTATCCGTCCTTAAGAGGAATGGGTTCAGCCCTTCCTCTGTATGCCCACTGTGCATAGGCAACAATCCAAGAATGATTCATCCCTGGCATCTGCATCCTCCAGATAACCAAAGTATGCTCCCCATCCATTCAGCCGCAGGATATGGTGCTGGATATCAGGATCCATTGCTTCTGCCATGGGAACAGCCGTGCCTCATCCTCAGCCACACCAAGCAACAGAATGTTGAAACTGTTTAGCTCTGCAGCTGCAGCCAGCTCCAGAACTGCTGGGAAAATTCAAATGCAGAAACGCGACTGCAGAAATCACTGCCAACCGAGTCAGTCAGTCAGCTAATTCATGCTTCCCCTTTTCTTCAAGATTTTGGTAAGCATGCTGAGAATTGGACACAGAAGAATAACATGAACCAGGCCAAAATCTAAGTCATGAGTGGGGATTTTTTGTTTCACCTGAGGGCCTTCATTCCCACATGGGGACCTGCATGGCAGCAGTGTGCAGGAATCTAGTCCAAGTGGGCAGGGCAAAAGCCAGATGCATACTCCGTTCACATCCATCCCAACAGGCATTCACATTATTCACACACACACACACACACACACACACACACACACACACACCCCTAATTGCCTGAGAAAATCTCCCATTGGTCACAAAATAGGAGGAAGGTTAACCTTTCCTTCTACCTGCAACCTCCTTCAAATTGCTTCCCATGCAGCAATTAAGCTTCCATTACCCTAATTGCCACACATGGATTGATTTTTCAGCAGGGATTACAGTAAATCAGGAAAACCTGATTATGGCTCGTAAAGGAAACTTTGTTGCAAAAAGCAAGTGTTGACATTGTGAGGGCAAACAAAGAACTTGAGGCATTTGCTGTTCACACCAGCTCTATTTAGTTCTCAGGGTGACCCTGTGGCCATAAAGTGCCAGTTCAGAGTATCAGCTGTTGCTGAACATGCACCGTCATTACATGTGAACCACACGCTACCATTTAAACATGGGTTAACTGCAAACAACCCAGAGTTCACAACCCAACACCAAGTCAAGGGTTATCTCTTCTCTGCAGGACCAGACCAAAGGCCTATCTAGTCCAGCATCTTGTTTCCCAGGGTGCCTCTGATAAACCTACAAGGGGCACATGAAGCCACTAGCTCTCTCCTGCAGTTGTGCCTCAGCAAGCAGCATTCAGAGGCATGCTGCCTCCAATATTGGAGCGTAATATACAGCCCCTTCGGTGGGCAGTCAGTCTCCATGGATTTATTTAGACCCCTTACAAGATCGCCAAAGTTTTGGCCATTACCACATTTTGAGGAAGCTAATCCCATAGTTTGAACTATGCCCTGCATGAAGTAGTGCATTTCTTTCTTTGTCTTTGTAGATGTTTGACTTTGATACACTGGAATTGACGTCTATATAATGCATAATTGAATATTCAGGTGCAAACTGGGTTTAAAATGATTCGTAGATACATTTTCTCTCTCTCATACAAATAACCCTCCTATTCTGCTTAGTGCTATAATTAAAATATGTTCATATTGAGAATAAGGGATGCAAATATCCAAGTGCCCAGTAGCCACAGGTGTCTGTTTCCTCTCTGTTTTGCAGAAAAATTTTGCACCCAAATCCAGAATGTGGAGATTTCAATAAACTAAGAGCAAATAGGCACATATTTAAAATACTGACATTCCAAACTTGAAAACAAATTGTCCTTTTTTTTTTTTTTTTGCTTTTTTATTTGGGAAAAGTGCTTCTTACAAAAGGCAGCTGCAAAGTAACACAGACTTCAGCAACAATTTCTGATTCCATTTAAAAGTGAAAAGAGACGCAATCTAAAGGACAGAAGCAGAACAGATCAAGGACAATCCAGCAGCATTAAATGTAATGGAAAGTTAAAATTCCATTGAAAGGGTAGGAGATGGGGAAGAATAGGAAAGAGGCTTTGGTGGCACGTGGAATTCTTCACAGAACTGGAGCATGGTTAATTGTGTGGTTGCTTGTTCTACAGATAAAGTAGGAACATGCACATTGTACAGCCAATGAAAGTCCTCTTGCCCAACTCAGATATTCAGCAAGGCAATAAGGAACCTGCTAATGGAGAAACAAAAGGGATTTCATGGATAAACTCTCTGCTTGATTCTTATCTACAGCTCTGCAGTGATGAAGGAAGGATCCAAATATGCTGGTACCCTAACTGGGTAACAGTTTGGTCTGAACCCTCTCTTGACTAACTCTATTCCTACACCTGTATTAGTCAAAGTCACCCCTAAAAGGTGTGGAAAGGTGACTGGGAAGAGAAAAGTGTCATGAAGGGAGTGCACGTACAACCAAGTTATAGTAGCTGTTTTAAGACCACTTCCACAGAATAGGCTGAGACCACAACCTCTGATTTAAAATCCAGTTGGAGGTCAGACCTCATGCGCCAGCTAGGGTGTGTGTGCAGCGGGGTGAGGGTGATGCAAGGGAAGAAAAAAGGAGTGAAGGGGTTTAATACACATATACCAAGTTGCCCAGCCCTTGGGATACAACTCTGCATTTTATTTGTATATACATACATAGAAAGTTCTCCTTTCACACACAAACACATTTGCCTTTCATGCCGAACAGTAAAAACCCGGAACATTCGCACCTGGTTCTGGTTACACAGTAGTAAAATAGTAATGTGCAAGTAAACAAGAGACCAAAACCACAAATGAGCACGTGTACATGAGAGGGGTTGGAATGGAGCTGAAGCCAGCCGAGAAAACACGCCGCTGGCATAAAATCTGAAGTAGAAAAAATCTGTTTCCAAAGTCTGTAGCGGAAAGAGGCCACTGGCCAACTTCTGCCCGTCCCCCCCGCACACTGCACAGCCGCTGCTCTCAAGTTTGTATCTGGGCTCTTCGAGGATGAGTGTGGAAGTCCTGTAAACACTTGAACCCTGAAACTGGGTGAATCCTGCCAGGAACACAGATATGAAGCAACAAGTCTAATCTAACTGTCTGACAGTTAAATTCATTTTTTACAAAACCTAACGTTTTAAAGGTTTATTTCATGTTGTTTTGTTTAACAGAGAGGAAAAAACACACTCCTGGGACTGGGTGGGTGGGGAAGGAAGGAGACAGACCCTGGGTAAAAAGTTAGTACAACAGCAGCACCTGGAATGGATAGGCCTGCCTAGGAGGAAGAAAAACACAGGCACTGCCACAACACCACAGGAAAAGGGCTACTGTCTGGAAAGCGAGCAGACAGTCCAAACTCCACAAAGAGGTGCTATAGATCCAAGTCATAATAGTCTTCCAGCTCATCATGAAACAAGTCCCATTCATCCTCGGAGTCTGTCAGGTCATCATCGCCTCCCGCCGCCAACAACATGAGAAGCATCTCACCCAGCTCAAACGTTACCACTTCGTCCTCGTCGTTCTCAAAGGGATCACTCCCCTCCCTCTCTTCAATGAACTCCCAAAACCGGTTTCTCCGCTGGGCCTACAAGCGGAGCAGAGTTATCAGGCCTCAGACCAGTGGCATTTTCCAAACCAACCCTCTCTTCTACAAGCACAAAAGCTCCACTCCCATTTTTCTCGCCAAGGGCTCCAAGTTCCTTGCCTAAACCTTGAGTAGAACTGGAAACATTTAGCAAGTCTCTGGGTGAAGGTGTGTGGTTTTTTAGGGTATGAGAGAAAGTGATTTGGTGCCACTGATACCTGCAAGACATGGCGAGAGACTGCAGACACTTGTGTTGATCCCAACCTGTATACAACAATAGCTAAGAGGATTGCTAAGGGCTGTCTGGGAAGCTTTGCATGCTGCGCTGGGTGCTATTCGTGCACACTGTTGATTTAGCATCAAATTATGCAACCAATGAGGGAAGTTTCAAGCTGAAAGTTGCCACAGCAACCCTGCTATTATGCACCTGCAAAAGTTGCAGCCCACCAAACAAAAGAGTCTTCCTGGCCAATTATTTGTGGCCTGCTAGGTGATAACACCATCTGTTTTTGTAGTGCAAAGCAGCAGAAAAATAGGGGTGGGAGGAACTGACTACCTGCTGAACCAGGGTATGTGACTAGTAGGCTGCTTGGTGATTGTTCAGTCATTATTATATTTGACTGAGGAACTAACACAAGATTTCTAATTCAGGAAGGAAGGGTGCTGTGTCACACTGATGTGGCAGCATTCAAGAGAACAAAATACATAGGAGTCCTTTTCTCCCCAGATTGAAGTGTTATAGTTTATTTTCTTTATACTATTTTATAACAATAATTTCATTTAATCTGGGCAAAGGACATCTGAATGACTATTTTGGCCAGGGCTGTGGGCAGGGAAATAAAAAAATAACTCTTCTGCAAAATGTACCAACCCCCATCTCACGATTTCATTGATTCTGCAGGGAGGCCTACAAGAACTGTCCACCCACTCAGAGTAAAGGCAGGAAGCATTTGCCTCTCTCTGGCCTGGTTTTGGGATTTCAAACAGTCAAGTCTGATTTGCTACATGACAAGTCATCATATTCCCTCTATGGTCTGACTGGCAGGGACCACACCTGAAAGATGCTCACTTTTAAAAATGGCACTGAAGGTGCAGATCAAGAAGAGCAGCATGTATAAGTACACAGGGGTGGGGAAGTGCACATGAAACGGACCACCCCGACCTACCCTTCTGCCTCCCCCAAAAATTTGTGAGCCAAATAAGGCACACACCTAATTTTACTCCACTGCCAGCAAAAGCGTAGCATAACACATATCCTCCTTTTTCTTTAATGAATCAACAAAAGCTGTGGGACTTACTCTGTATCTACTTGAAGTTCCCACTTTCTGCCTCTGGGGCTCCTCTCGGCGGCCATCGGGATATGCGTGTTTGTAAAAACAGTTCCCTCCAAATGGGCAGCTCCCACGGCCTTCATCAAAATACCTGCATGGCTTGTTGCTGGAAAGGAAAATATCGCAACCCTTACTCACAGCATAGCCAATCAGAATTCAGTACTGCATTTGCTTTATAATCCAGGTGATGTTTTCTCTTTTTCTTTTTAAAAAGAGAGGTACTGTTTGCTGCAGAAGCCATTTTAAAATCAGTTGAAATATGCACACAATGGATTAGGTGAAAGTGCGTACCCAACAGGTGTGCACACGGGTGGGTGCATGCAGAGGAGTGAATTTGTACTCGCTTGTACTATCATTAAGGCTAGGTTGCGGTTGGGTGGACAAGGGAGCAGCACATGAGATTGTCTGGCACAAAGAAGTGACGAAATAACTTGTGTGGTCTGCATGCATCTGCTGGTGGTTAGAGATGCATTTTGTGGGGCAGGAGTGGGGGGTTAGGAAGGAGGTATGAGAGGGCTTTAGGTAACACCTTGCGTTCCTCCGAGTACGCCCTTAATGTCTGCAGTCAAACTTGATCCGGGGCTGCAGTGCTCATACCTCATTGCCTCCTTGTATTTCTGAATGAGTTTCTGCTTCTCCTCCTTCTCCTCCACCCAGTACTCACTTGGAATGACAAAGTTAGATGTGATCCGGCATTCTGGGCAGGACCTGGGGAACGAACAGACTGCACTGCAAAATTCCACATGACACGGGCATTATTTCCATCTATAGACATACCATGGCATATGCCCACCTTTAAAAGCAGTCTATCGTACCTCAGACCTTTGTGCCATGTTCCTTTCATAACCTCTCCCCACCCCAACCCCACCGTAGTCTGAGTTCCTCAGTCCTGCAGCATGACCATTTTTAAGAACATGAGGATGGGAGGAAAAAAACATTTCACACAGACTCATTTTTCTTTAAATATAAATAAATTTATTTTTGTAACTTTGCTTTCTTGGATGTCCATATTGGTTTGGGTTTGTTTTTCCAAGCAGAACTTAGAGGGATGGGTCATTGGCTCAATAATGAACTAGAAGAGTAAAGGCTTAGGAAACACACATTTGGAATTGATCTGTCTCTTTCACCATCTGAACCCAAATGCTTTTGTCTTGGAACCAATAGGACAGCATGTTGCTACCATTTAACAAAAAAAGTAATGTGACTTAACATTCAAACTAAATGGATCTTGCTGACCAGCCGAGAGTACCAAGGTCAGAAAGTATACCCAAAAACCCCCTCAATTCTGAATGATAACATTACTTATGTATTAAATGCAGTCTTGGGATGAAAGAGGGTGATGTTGCAAGTTCAGACAACATACTAATTTCTTCCCAAGAAACAAAGCACAAGTGACATGGGGAAGTGCCTCACTTTATGATCTTGCTCTCAAATTGTTTAGCACTCCTCCACTTGCGGATGCACTTGAGACAGTAAGTGTGATTGCAGTTGGAGAGGATCCCAAAGCGGCGCTCGCTGGGGTTCGCTTTTTCATACACCACCTCCATGCAGATCCCACACACCATGTCCTTGCTACGCTGGACAGCAAATGAGAGCTCCATGTCCTTCTCGTGAGCCTCAATGCAAGACTGCAAGGGAGAGAGGAAGACATTGACAGACATCTGGGAAACACGAGGTTACACACAGAGGGCCAGCCCCACAGTCTCATTAATCACCCTGCTTGGCATTTTGGCCACTCCCTGTGCCCCTTCTGTCGAGCTAGTTCACAATAGGTTGTCTTTGGGCCGAACAATCCTCTGGGAGCAGGGTAGGGAGAATCTGTAAAGCTGAACTGCCGCCAAAGCCCTAACCGACATGACAGTCAAGGAGGGTTGTGCTTGTGCATGGTGCATCTTTTTACGATTTTTGTTCCACCTGCAGAGGTGCAGATTTACTCTGTCTCCCAGGGCCCTTGAATTGCCTTCCCAGGGACAAGTATGAATCTTTATGTGTCCTTGTCAATAATTGTCAATAATTTATTGACAATAAAAAGTCAATATTTTCACAGGTATTAACACAGTATTAAGCAGTACCGTATTTTATTTTCTTATAGTCTATTCTGTTTTATATGCTGCTCATCAATTTTGTTGGCTTGCTTTATGTTGTTTCCTTAAATATCTCAATAAAATATGAATATAAGTGCATTGGATCTACGTATAACTGAGCTAGAAGTTTCATTCACATTGCAGTCTGATACAGATCCACTCAGAACTAAGTTTTGTTAAGTCCAGTGAAGAACTAAAAGCAGTTACCTCTTTAATATCAAAAATATGTATATATTTTGTTTTCCTCTCATGTTATGCCTTTCAGATTATAATTCTAAGAGCTGGAACTATATAATATGGAACCACTCTGGGAGTGTTTTTTGGCTGAAGAGTAGAGTAAAAATGCTTTAAGTAAATAAGACCAGATTTTATCCCTCAAGAACTGTAGGTATAAAAGTTTTCTTTATAAGGAACTTTGGTTTAAATCAGTTATGCAAGAACTGTTAATTTGCACTGGAGAAAAATGTATTTGTTTTCCATTGGCTGTAGTGAAATGAAGGCACAAGGCAAAAGATTGAATCCTAACACTACTGGCATTCTCCCCGCAATCACCCTGTGCATCCAGAACTTTCTAGCATTCTAGTAACTGCCACCATTCTTGTTTTAAATTTATTTATTTATATCCCATGGTTTTTCCTTTCAAGGAACTCAAGGAGGCTTTCATGATCCTCCTCTTCCTTGCAATCTCAGCCTCACAACAACAACCCTGTGAGGTAGGTGGGGCTGAGAGTCTGACTGGTACAAAGCCACCGATTTATTTATCTATTTAATTCTTATACCACGCAAGAGCCAAGGCTCTCTGGGTGGTTAACAACGGTTTTAAAAAGTTAACTGAAAAGTCAGCTAACTCCATGGTTATTTTACTTGTAAGGCACAGATACTATGAAACCTGAATGAAACAGAGACAGAACTATGTTTGGTAGAACATGTGGTCAGTCACCCTAGAAAGCCATGGACATTTTTCAGGGAAAACTCAAAACATCCAGTGAGTGCGCTTGTTGAGCACAGATCACTATTATCCTTGTGTGCTAGCAAACTGTAAAGTCCAAGCTCAAGTTGATTATCAGTGCTACACACAACCAGCTTCCGTAGAGCCTGGTACAAGAAATTTAGGGTAATGTGTCACTGAAGCAGTCGGCATGAGCATAAGTGGACTCTGGGAGATGGTGGAGGACAGAAGAGCCTGGAGGAATGTTGTCCATGCGGTTGCGATGGGTCAGACGTGACTTCCCAACTAACAACAACAACAATGTTCCCTTACTCCACATTCTTTGGCCTATTTTCCACCTTTGCTCGAAAACAAGAACTGCCAAGTGTATAAAGCTGTCCAATCTAAAAAGTCTATGAAATGGTTGTCTTCATGCCTTCAAGAGACACAAACATTTTCCAAAGGCTAAAATAAAGGGAAACGTTACCCAGCATAGTACATTTTACATATTTTGTAACTTCATAATGATTCATAATGGTTAATTAAGTCTGCCCTCTCTGGCTGCCCCTTTGGGCTAGATCCAATTACCACCTGACTGCTCTGAAAAAGATCTGCAGGGCTGCACACCCAAGGCTGTCAGCCAACTGCTTAGAATGCTGTAGCAAAGCTACTACAAAGAAGCCGGTGAGGTCTGCAAGCTTGCATAAGATCAAACGTTTCTCAACTTTTGAGAGCGCATTTCATCTATTTTCCCACCTTACCTTTATGTGTAAAGATCGCTGAGCCGCATCTGCAGGATGGAGGACCTGCAAGCCACACATGTCACACACATCTCCGTGGATATAGACACAGTTTTCTCCATAACGGCATTCTCCTACTGCAGCATAGGGACACAGTTGCTTCTTCATCTCCAAGTTTGTTTGCTGTTTTTCATATTCTTCTTCAATTACCATTCCCTGCAAAGGTGCTTCAGTGCAGGAAGGAGCAGCTGGAAAAAATCAGAATGAAGATACAGAACACTTTATCTTAAGGGAAAAATGAGTTCAGTTAATTTATCTAAGCAGGGGTGGGCAACTCTGGAAGGTAAAGGGATATTTTCACCCAGCAAAATCTCCCCATTTAGGTCACCACCACCCTTAATTTTATTATAACTTATTAAAAGTCATTCAGAGTAGAAATAAGTTATTCTGTACATTTTGGTGCTCCACAGTTGCTATGAAACAATTCCAGCAATTTGGGGGCAGCAGGAACTGTGTGTCACCAAATTCACGCATTACCCCCCTGATTTAAGGAAAATAATTTCAGATGGATAAGCTCTTGTCATGAGCATCTTTGTCCCCAAAATAAACTGCTACATATTTCAATAGTTTTATGACAAACACAGAAAGAAATATTTACCTTGTATCTGTTGTGGAGGCCACCAAAAATGCACACCTATCTAAGCACTCCTTGCAATATGTGTAACGTCCAACAAGGCACTTACTTCACGTGCCAACTCACATGTTGTGTCAACATGCAGCCACACTAGTGAACTGACTGCGCCTGTGCGTGGGCACATGGAGTGAGACCCTTTTAAAATGTAACACACTATACAGAATGCTAAAATGTCTAGACAGATTTTGATCACCTGTATGCATTGTCATGACAATCACTGCCACTGCACAATCTTCAAAACTCATTACCTTGTAATGGATAGCTAAATAACAAAGCTTATTCTAGACATTTATCTCAGCTTTTCACAAGCTGTGATGCATCAAATACTAACCTGCAGCCCTTGATCAGAGTGACACAAACCAAAGCTCTGGGACAGCATGGGTCAATTCTCATTAATTCCTCCAAACAATTATGTCCAAAGACCATGACCATATGAGAAAAGGTTAGCATGAACTAGGTTGCAAGACAGAACTTTACCAGCAGTTACAGCACAGAAATGGCTGTTGGCCTAGCAGCTGTGTAGGCTGCTGCACATTTGTGTGAAACTGTCCTACTTACTAACGAACCTTCACATAAAGTCATATGCTTGGGAACAGAGTGCAATTGCCAATCAAAGGCTTAAATGGACTGAAGAAGGAATTACTCCAACAAAGGGCATTCGACAAGACCTGCAAACCAGTGACAAGCAGCAAAGTCACAGAAAAACGACTCAGTACCACTGGGAATGTCCATCATAAATCACTTTCTGAAGAATTCTGTGATCAGTTGCAAAACCAAGTAAGCAGATTAGAGTCAAAACGATCCGCAAAGCAACTTATCAGTGAAAGAGTATCTTCCCCCTAAAACAGACCCAAATCAGAATACAAATAGACCCACACAGAATAACCTTACAGGAGCGCAATAAACCTTCTGCTTTAAACATAACACAAAGAAAATTGTGATTGTCTTGTTGAAAAAAAAAGTGGAGATGCAGCTCACCTTCCATTTGGCATCTCTAGGGCTGATGCTTTCAGACACAGAAATTACAAAGTGGATATTGTCTGGCAATACTGACAGTGACAGAAATAAGCTAATAGTACGGGAAACAAACATTTTTAGATTTCACTTTAAAGGAACATTCAAAAAAGATATTTTGATCTGGGTGTTTATAGAGGAAATGTGGAAATGTATATTTATATGTGGTGCCCTAAAACAAAATGAGGTCAGTCACTGGTGTACACATGTATGTCCAAAGCTATGACTAAATAAACCAATGATAGCAAGGACTGAACATAAAAACACTGCCAGTTTCCATACAAGGCAAAAGAGTATGCACTGGAATGCTACATTTGGCCTTGACAGAGGCCTGATTTTAAATTCACCCCCGGTGTTCTCTCTCAGCCAAAAAGCATATCAAAAATAATTTTATAAATAAATATAAAACTGCTCTTAAATATTTTAAAATCCTATTTTGGCTGCCTTCTTGGAACAGCTAAAACAAGAGTGGAGAGGCACCCAGCAGGACACACATGGCTGGTGAACTGCATTTTGTTCAGCTACCTACAGAGAAGAGCCAATGCTCATGTGCTGAGCACATGACCATCTGCATGTGAAAGGGCCCCAGGTTCAATTCCCAGCACTTCCAGCTAGTGCTATGATACATCAAATACTAACCTGCTGCCCATGATCATGGTGACAGAAACCAGAACTCTGAAAGAGTGAGCACTAATTCCTCCAAACACTAAAGCACTAATTCCTCCAAACAAGTATGTCTGATGACCATGACCATGTACGAAAAGGTTAGCCTGAACTGGGTTACGAGACAGCAGAGACATGGAAACCTCTTCTTCCATATGAGCCTGCATAAACCATCATAAGATTTTTAATGAACGGTGCTATAGAAAAACTTTCAATAAATAAAATGTGGCTGTTGGCTCACAAGATGTGTAGGCTGTTGCACATTCATGTCTTGCTACACAACGGGGAACTCAGCACTGTGAGTCTGTCCTAATAACTAATGGAACATAATTCAAAGTCACAGCTCCTTTCTGGAAACCTAGGGACCTGACGCTAGTCGATGGAGAAAACTCTGAGCAAGATGAACCAATGGGCTCATGTGTTATAAGGCAGCCCCCCTATGTTCAAAACACCAAAGCAATGGAAAGCCCACGAGGCACCCTTGTCGGCAACTGTGGTTTACCACAACCACAGTGAGTCAACTTACCACGGCCACAGTACGGCTGCCCAGGAACAAACTCCACAGCATTCACCCAGTCTTCAGCCCCCACTCCTGCAGCTATCAGGTCTTTGTCTTCCACTTCAGTCTCACCAGTGCTCACTTCAAGTGTTCCAGGAGAGGGGTTCACATCTGTGGAAGCTGATGGATAGGTTTTTGCAGCTGAACTCACAGTAGTCACTTCTTCCCTTTTCAATGGCTTGGTATGCTCGTATCTGATAAGGCACAAAATCAACATTTGCTTATTATTTCCTATTCTCCCCAGTCCCCCCAGGAACTCAGCACTGCACAGAAGGTGGAGATTTAGTTTTAAGAAATTCCTGGCAACAGAAGATTTACTTCTGAAATAGAATTGTGGGGAGTGAGAGAATCCACTCGGAAAGAGAAGGTAGCAAGGATGCCGTCTTCTCCCCTACTCCCAGAGACATTTTAAGCACACATTCAAATGTAATTAATGCTGAAATTACCAACAAGAAGTTTTCTTCTATGCTTTACTTCTCATACATGTAGCCTATGGATCAGCTGAAGGGCAACATCATGGCACACCAGGGAGGATCACATTTTATCATTATGACTTGCACATAAGTTACATCAGATTTTGAGATACTGACTTGGTCATGGCAAACCTGTCCACTTCATGGATGAGTGAGCATCTGACTCCACGTATTCTGGGTTTAAGAACAATACTTTACCTGCTACAATAGAGTGGCTCTTGGTCGCCTCATGAAAATAATAATCTCAGACAGAAAAGCAATTTATTATTGTTTTCCCCATATTTACTGAGTTTTATTGCATACATATATATTTATTCAGTGTATTTATAGCCTGCCTTTCCTACAAAGAGCTCAAGGTAGTGTGCCTGGTCACCCCAGCTGCCCCCACCACACACGCATTGTATCCTCTCAGCAATCTTGAAAGGTAGGTTAAGCTCAGAGACAGTGACGGCTGAAGAATACTAAGTGTCATGACTGAGTAAGGATTCTAACCAAGTTTCTTCCAGTTGTGGTCCAGTACTCTAAGCAGCGTATTACAGTGACCTGACATGAGCACCACCTTGCTTTCCAGGGGTGCAGAACATTAGGGCTAGGGGCCAAACCCAGTCTGCATGGGAATTCCAGTTGGCTCAGCCACGTTCCTTTGGCTCTGCCCCACCCAGTTTTTTGTGACCACCATTGAGTGGTTTCCTGATCTTGTGGAGTCTTTTCCCGCCACAACATTTTATTTCGAAAAGGTTGAAATGCCTCTCCTAAGCCTTAGTTACTGATGGTAAGAGCAGTAAGTTACAATACGCTGGTGTAATTGCTTCAATCTTTCTCCACTGGAATGGAGCCCTCTAGAGGTGCTCTAAAACAGAATTTAGCCCTCAGAAATGCAGCACCCTGTTGTAAAGGTTATTGCAGCTTATTGTAAGGTCAGGATTTGTGTTCAATCCCATCATCTTTGAATTACAGCATTTACATTATTACAACTCATTGTATAAGTTTCTTGCTAGGATACACAGTCAGAAATAATGTTGATAAAACAAGCCTATCTTTACACTGATTTTTTTTTTGCTGTTGATTAGCTTATTCCATATACATTCCTGTATAAGCTTAAAGAAGAGCCTCATGCACCTGACCACTACCTCTACCGTACCAATCTTCAACTGACCTTTTATAACTTGCTTTAGCATGTAGACACTTAAATATTTTTGAAATGTTCTATTAAAAATACTAACTTCAGTGCAATAACTTCAGCCAATTCATCCTTATAGGCTATGCAGCTACGAAGCGTGCAAGAAAGGTTTTCCTCCCTATCCATCTCATTAATTATAGAATTCTTTGAATCAGTTCTAAGTCTTGTTACAATTTCTTTTAACAGCTCAAGGAATAAATTCGGGAACAGGAAACCAGATTCCATGCATGCCAGAGTACTATTTATTTACATATTGTTTGAACAGTACTTGTAGTGACTGCATTCACATTAAAAATCAAACTCTATATACTTTTTCAATGTAGACAAATCAGCTTCAATCAAAAAAACCAATTCCATTAGGATACTTTAATACTGATGCATTTAGCATATAGCATTTTAATATGATGAAGCAGTGTGGATTTGGCAATTGTGCTTATAATAAAATGCTTATAATCTCTTTTTAATACTAGCCCCTTGATAAAAGGTAATAGCTAACATATGACTAGTCAATAAAGCACTATTGTATGTTTCCAGAGGTTGATAATGATAAAAGCATTTCAGAGATAGTCATAAACACAGCATTACAACCCCTACTCTGATAGCGATAAAGTTCAAAATGTGAGCAGGGCATTACTGAGTAGCCGCTCCCCCAGGTATACAAGTATCCACATCAACCATCTTTGGATGTGGGCTTGTGTGCAGAGCTATTTGATGAATAACTTTGAGGAAAGGCTAACGGCAGCTTCCAGTAGAGTCATCCCTAGAGGATGAGGGCAGAAATGTTTCTGATTGTCTAAAAGGGGACAGAGTAGTAATAGGCCACGAGCATACAGTAAAACAGGACAGCCAAAGATACCCAAAGGAAAAATGCCACAGACATTAGAAGTGGGGCGACATGTATGAGAGTTTGGTGCCAGTGCTAGAAGTATCTCAGCCTAGACAGAAGACTTGGGAGTGCTGAGATTTGAAAGAATACATTAACAGACACAATAAAGACCTGATGGAATACAGAGAACCAGTGGTATATGGTCATCTTTGGATACAAGCTCAAACTCAGTGAGCTGGTATTGCTTCAAAGAGGACAAGTGTTTGAGGGTAACTTCAGAAACATCTGAATTTTCCACAAGATCAATGTGCGAAATTTAGGGCTCTTCCAGTGCTACCAAACATTGCTATTCCACTGTAAGCTGCAAGCAGAATTGCCGTGGAACTTACCAGTGCTGGGGGAAATTGCTGCTACATCCTGCTACGTTCTGTCCGTATCAGTCGGTGGAGAATGACAGGATGAAGCCAAAGCTCTCCCTTCCCTCATATCATGTTGCTTGGGCAGAGGTGTTCCTTTTGTTCATTCCTCCAGAACTGTGCAATTCTGGAAGATCAATGAGCCACTGCTGTGTCTTCCTTCTCAATGATTTATTGTTTAAAATGTATGCAGCAGAGGCCACTGTTTTACCCACCATTCCACCTGCCTGCCCCACCAGGCCTCTTCCTTGCCACTCCCTACAATGTTTCTTGCGAGGGCAGTACCAGCAATGGCAGCAAAGCTGGTGCTCTGCTCCACAGCTTCTACCCAAAATGAAAGGGCAGCCAGGGCATGCAAGGGGTGGCGGGCAGGCAGGGGACACATACCGAGTGGAGCTGAGTCTTGTCAGGACTCCCAAGACAAGCCTCAACTTTTTAAAAGCAGTATTTTAAAAAATTAATCAGGAAGCATGAAGGAAGCTGCAGCAGCAAGCCTTGGATTTTTCAGAGGTGCACATTTAAGGGGGGACAAACAACAAAACCCCTCCACATAAATATTCTTCCTTACACCTATAGCCTCAAATGTGTGTGCATGTTGTGGGGTGGGGTTGAGAACTGTATGTTGCAGAAGCAGCAGCAGAGAGAAAGGAGAAGAGAAAAGCACAGCTGTTGACTGACCCAAAGCCATGAGAACATCTCCTACACATCAGATCCACACCCCCACAAAACAGCACAACATCCTGCAATTAGGCAGCCACACCACTGCTTTTGTAGATCATGGCACACTGGGAAATAATTAAATGTTCCCTGTTGCAGGAAAATTTGGAAGGTATGGGGAAACACAGGATGGCATGGGTTATCCAGAGGAGACTCACAATGTATGTGGGCAGCCCAAACAATCCTGCAAAGAAGGCAAGCCAATAGCACCCTAAAAGCCCCATCTTAAATAGGCCTTAATATTAGGAGTTTGCTACCACGCTCACAGAGATCTGGAAACAGAGAAAAAAATGAGGAAGGCATTCAAAGAAATATGTGAAGTAATGCAGTTTTTCTCACAATTATTCTGAATAAATGTGTGTTTTGTTTCTTAGTCCCATAAATGACTGTGCTCTTGAACAGTTGTTCAACTAGTTGCAGCAACTAGAGGGGAGGTGTTCCTGGATTTAATCTCAAGTGGCACCCGGAATCAAATGAAAAATGCTGAATGAGCAGAAAGCACACTCCTATCTAACATGGTGCTATCAAACTTATATTTAAGTGGAAAATTGCCAAGGAAATCCAACATGGCCACATTTATTTCCAAAAGAGTAAATCTACCTAAAGTTTTTACATGTTAGATTTAATCTGAAGTATAACACCTGGACAGATTTATTAGTATGTGATGTAAGGGAAACAGTATTCAGGTATCATGAATTGTTATGTTCACTGGATTCTGAAGCTCCACAATTTTCTCTGGAATTAAAGGGGCAAGGAAAGAAGCCAGTCTGACATGAACATGAGGCAATGGCTCCTTTTTCAAACCTAAAACATTTGGAATGATTTCTGTACCTGCAGCGATCTCCGTAAGCACAGCATCCTCGCTGAAAATACCTGCACACCATGGCAGACTGACTAGTGTATAGATCATGGGAGTAACGGCAGTTGTCCCCTTCCTTGCAAACACCGTGCATGAAATACCTGAAAGAAAGAGCATTGCAAATATGGTTCAAGTAGAAACAAGAGTCTATAGTGATTTTAAAGGGGTTCCATTATGTTTGATGCAAATAAATGACAAGCTATGCTGAGTAACCCTTTCCAAATTCTAGGGGGAGAAACGCAAACCTTCAGACAACATGGCTGCCATTAACAGATCTGTCCTCTATAAACTTGTCTAATCCCATTTGACATCATTTGAGCCAAAGGCCATCACTAAATCTTGTGATAATTTCTCCCCTGAATCGCTACCCATCAATTACAAAAGTTACATGTAAAATATCATGAACTTGAGGGATGCCGAAAGATCAACCAAAACAATGACAGTATTTTCCCCCATAGGTATGGGCCTAAGGCATTTGGACCTCTTTACCTATGAAAAAAAGACAACCAAGGGGCATGATTTTGGGGGGGGGAGGATACATAATTGGCATTATTGATTGATTGACTGATTTTAAGTTTTTATGAAATAATCCACTTTCTCTACTCCATGCAGATAGACTTCCCCACCACCTTCAATAATACTAGAACTCTGTCATTCACTGAAATTGATGGGCACAGTACTAGATTCAGGGTAGACCAAATGCAGTACTTCTTCACACAGCACATACTTACAACATTCATTATGCTCAGCATACCTCTCAATAGCGGCTGTTTGGGGACATCAGCATGAGAATAATGTTACCCTGATGTTCTGAATACAGGCTTTCTGGAAACAGCTAGCTCAGCCTTCCCTAACATTGGCCCCTCCAGATGTGTTAGATTACACCTCCCTAGGGCATGATGGGAGTTGCACTCCAAGACATTAAGAGGGCCCCAAGCTACAGAAAGTTGAGCTAGCTGCTGGTGTTGTGCATTTTTTCTAACTGCTTGAGGGCTTATGCTGTGTCTATGTTCAGACCTGATGCTGAATTAAATGGCCCTTGATCTCATCTAGAAGGCTTTTCTGTTTATCTGGACATTAAATCTATTAGGAAAACTAGCTCAATTTTAAGTTTTATTTTCCATATATAGCAGTGGGGTACAGGGTGCCTCCTAACCAAGAGAACACTCTGGGATAATACAGGCAAGTGGGCAAGTGCATTGCTTCCTTTGCTCGCACTGTTCCACAATGTCTAAAAGGATGATTCCAACTATTTAAGAAAAAATATACATCTGGAACACTATTTGGCTTTCAGAGGTATAGTCCACTAAGATCCTGGTGCTCAGGTTAACCAACAGAAAATGTCTGACCAGCTAGAAAATGGCCACAGCAAACAAGACAGGATAAAAAGAATCATGCAGTTCAGTCCATTCATGTCCTTAATGAAGAGGGCTCCCACTCTTCTCTAAAGGGAATCCTTCCAGGCAAACAAGTAACCAGTCCAGTTTAGAGTTCTAGAATGGTACATTACTATCAGCCTAGGCAAAAGGAGCAACATCACATTACCACCACCCCATGAGCCACTTACAGAATCCATGGTAGGGAGAGGTTCCTAAGAGGCCAGCCAAGGTGAATTATCATCATGACATGGCTTAAATATGCCCACACAACAGTACAAAGCAGTTTTCTCATGCACCGTGAGGCTTTGTCCTGGAGGTACTCAGGACTCTAGGCAATAAAACCAAGACCACATTTTGCATGCGCATACAGAGTGCATCTTCTACTACCACGTCCAATATGGCTTGCTACAAAAGGCAAGTGGGCAGTTCGTGCGGTGGCATCATCTAGTATGGGATCATCAGCATACTAGAACGAAACCGGAAAATATTTACATCACAGTGAAAACAAATATGCACTAATGCCAGGGTGGATTTGATTTAAATTACCATTTAAATCACTAGAAAGGCAGACTAGATTAAATTAATGGTTTTCGACATAATTTGCACACATGCCTACCTTACCTGCAGGTAGAGGAATTTCATTAAAATCTTCCCAAACAGGGTCTCTTTTATGGCCTGCTGCCATTATAGGTTTTCTCCTCCAAGAAAAGAATATGACAAGCCTCAGGCCATACACAAAAAGATCCAAAGGCTTGTGGAACATTCTGCTCAAAAGGTTTCATTTTCATGTTTCCTGCTTGCCCCTCCCTCTTCATACTGTGCTTCTTGTGCAGATCTATTCCACTCCCAAGAAGCTTCTTCTATTTATTGAATTTTCTGAAACTTAGCACTCAAGAGGTAACGGGTTGATTCTGTGTACATAGATTTGCAAAGAAACAATGGGTTTAAGGTCTTTTTCTCAATTCTGTATAACATTTTTGCTGTGAAGAAGAGGCATGTGATCTCTGCAGACACAAATTCACAGCTCTGAGAACTATAAAACCAAGCATCTCTGATAATATCTTCTACACAGAAAAAATGCCCAATAATCTTACAGAAACCTCTGGAAGATCATGACATTGTGAATGGATTAATGGAATTCATTTACCAAAAAATTTGAACTTTGCGTGAATATACAGCCCTGTGCTACATAATTAAAAATTAACCCTAATTTAATGATGAATAACCTTTGGACTGTAATGTATCTTAAATAGAAAACTACCTTTAGATATATTTTTTCCTCAGAAGCATGTTATTTTTAAAAATCTAATTTAAATAAAAAAATCCAATTTTTATTTTTTTTACAAAATCATTGATTTTTGTCCAGGTTGACTTAAGGTACAAAAGAAACTTGGAACAAATATTGGCAATGCTGTCATGGATTTAGTAGGCTGGTTCAGACACAATAGTAACTCACATTTTAGCATTATGAGAACGGGCCACAGTGAGACTTAGGCTTCGTATTGTGCCATTCATCCTAGCAACTTTAAAGTATACTTGCTCTCTACCATTCATCTACTGCAGCTGCAAAGAAGTGACCGGAATATTTTGCTTCCATTTTTAACCAACTGCACTTTACTGTTATGTCCAAAGTTGGACTAACCGTGATTTGCCTTAACAATGAAATAATGAAGCAAACCAGCTTCAAAACTTTATGAAACTAGCTAGTTTTGATATAAATTAAAATGAACCACAGTTTAGGGTTCAGAAGTAACAGTCAATTGTGACTGAAAATAGGGGCAAAAACCTCTGATCTTCTTTTAATTCCAGGCAAGAGTAGAAGAGGCAGCAGATGAGCTTGTCATCTTGTTTATGTTATGGATAAACCCAAGTTTGCTCCTAAATCCAAATGCAATCAATGAATTGCGGCATGCCCATTATGATACAGCTGCTGTGAGAAAAACCACTCTTCCACTAGCCAAAAGAAATGCCAGCCATTGGTAAACATCATTGCTTTACTGCACAGCTAAGGGTCTGGAAGAAAAATCTCTACCACTTCACCCTTTTCCACCTCATTTCTTCCTTGTCTCTGGTTTGATGGCTCAAATGAATGCTTAAGTTACTTTGCATAAACTCTTCAGTGGCCTCACCCACATCACCTTGACAACTTAACAAATGCTAACTGGTTCTAAGTTTAAAGGAAGTACCTACTATTGTTTGTGCTTCTCACTAAATGTATATCGTAAGTCTGAGCCATACACATGTCCAGACTAAGGCATTTTAAAAATCTGGTAGTAACAGCAGTAACATAGAATAAACATGAAGTCTTTTGCAGCCTGACTTATCTCATAGGAGGTGCAATTGTGTCCTCTTCACCACAACCATTAAAGTCTTTATTTTGCTGTACTTTTACTGTGAATGAAAGGTCTGCCATCCAGGTTTCATGCTAAATTGCTTTATCCTATTTTTTTATTCTATGACATTAATTTTCATAAGCAAGACTGATTTTGCTGTATTTATGAACTTCTTGCTTTGAATTTATTCTATATGAATTTTGAGGTATTTAAACAAAACCAACCAACAATACCTGAAATATAAAGTACTTTCAGATTTTACTGAAAGGAAAGAGGACTCACGCTTTTAAAAGGGATGCAAACTATGGTCCATTTATTAACTAATCCTGTACTTGAATAATTTGGGTTACAGTGCATTGCCGCAATAAGAAATGAAAGAAACAAGTTATTATGGTCTTTCCACCTAACAATGTTTATTAAATAGCAATTTGTGTTAAGCTGCTTTCAGGATTTTAAAAGCCACTTTCTTTTGTAATGCAATGTATTCAATTTTAAAATCAGTCATAAATTAATTGTGCTTTACTCCATTGGCACCACCACACTATGAAAAAGTGAACTAAATTGTTGGGGAAAGCATATTCTGAATTTAGAAGCTGATGCTAATATTCAAAGTAGCAAAAATGGGTTTCCTTAATAAAAGCATGATTTAGTTCACCCTCTGGCCTTCTGAAAGCTTTAACCATCTAAAAATAGAAGACAAATGTATGTGCTCATCTCAGCTAGTATTTCATAAAATGAAATTTTTCATACTATGAGCTATCTTAAAGTAGAAGCCTAATACAAGCTGCTAAATATTCTTTAGCTATTTAGTACTAATTTTAGAGTTAATACCCTCTATCCCCCAAAATACTTACTCATAAAGACACCACTCTATAAAGTTAAGATGCTAGATTTTTTTCCTGATTGTGCCATCTGGTTTTATTTTAAGCCATTAATCTGTCTCTCAAATACAGCATGGAGAATGCTGCTACAATAAACTTGAAATATGAACTTGACATTTGTTAGGTACAGTAGACTGGGTTTAAATGACAGTCCAGTTGAAATGGAAACAACAGGCGGCAAGGCTGGCATCATCTGCTAAGATAACATGCCTTCTGCATAAGGATGCGACCTCTTCTAATAGGGCCAAAGACAGTGGCAGTACCACATACATGCCCATAGTGCCAGTGGACAGAGACATTTAGTAATATATGATCTTCAGCATACTGCCTGATTCACCATTTTTATACCAAAAAAAATCTTCATAGAGAAAAAAAAAATCTAAAAGCTAAATTCCAGAAGTGAACACATCTCTTTCCCATCCTGGAATGAAAAATTTTCTGTAAGATATTTGACACTTTTACCTACAGTATGGTTGAACTGCTACATCTGCATTTTCAAAAGTTTATT